CTTGCCTTGGTCTGTGATTCCTACGTTTCGACACACAGGCCTCGGTGGCCTGCCAGACTCTTTCTGGTATGAGGTTTTCAAGGTGTTGTACCCAGCGGAAGAAGCCGGACGGCAACAGTGTGCAACACTTTGGTTGTTTGTGACCCCTGTTTTCTTTCGCTTTGATATTTCCCTGTGTCAAGGAGATCCGTCTTTCGGAAACCCACGTGAAATCTATGCTGGGCAATTACGACGCGTCTGGCCTGGTGCGCCACTTGGTGTCTCGCACCCAAGGCAGGTTGGGGCATGTCCCTACACTGACCCTGGTTCCACAAAGTTTCGCTGGCTGTGGCAGGCTCTGGAAACTTCAGCGCCGCTTTGGCCTGCGCTGTGCTCACACCCCGTTCCCCACCCCCAACACGATGGGCTGTGGCCGTTGAGATTTGAGGGTTGGTTGAAAGTAAAAGTGACCCTGGGCTCGGTTTTTCATCGCAACACTGATTTGGTTTCCCTGAGCAAGCGCAATCCAGGGCTGTCTCATCGCGCTGCGGCAGCCTTTTTCCCCGTCCCAGGAGAGCTCTGCGTCATCTGAGTAGCTTCCGCTGGCCTGCAGAGATAGCGGGTAGCTATGCATAGACAAATCACGGCAATCGCCCCTACGCAAAAACGCTTGAGTTCCTGGCAAAGATGCATGCGTGTGAAGTAGGCCCGCTCCGCCCGCGCCTCCGCAGGTGGCGGGTCTTTGCTCGCTGCGGCATGGTCTGAGCCTTTGGCGCCCAGATACCCCACCATTCCTGGCAAGGAAGGGCTCAATGCTACTCAACCAGTACTGGCAAAGTATTTGACGAGATTTCTTCAAAGAAGACTTCGGAGCTCTATTTGCTAAGAGGTTTTTGAAAGAAGGGTCCAGCGCTATCGACCCAATCATTGCTGAAAACATGTTTGCATTGATATTCCACAGAAAGGTTGAGTGCTGTCAACCCAAAAAAAGTTCTGTGCGTTGAGATTGGAACTCTATACTCAACCGTTATTTGTAAAATACATGACAAGTAGGGTTTCAGAAAACATGTTGAACACAGTATACGCACCCAACCAATTCTGTCAACATATTCTGTTAGATTTCAGTCAAGGGTTGAACGGCTCAACGCTTTATGCCCAACCATTGCAAGCAAAGGGTTTGCGTTGAGGCTTCAAAGGCGGGCGGAACACTCTCCGCCTATTCATTGCTGCTTCGAGATTCCACAGAAGCGTTCATTATTCGACACCCTTGCCACGTTTAGGCGTTCAGTGCTCCGCAATTGCCCATGCACTCGTGTTGAGCTCGGCTGTCTACGCGCAGCAAAGTGGCTCAAACAGCTGATTGCTCAACCTCGCAGGAGTTATGGTGAAAGACTCGTGGGTCACTGCTTTGAATGGTTTGGCGGAACGTTGGGAGGCGGACAGCTGCATTCGTATGAAGCTTGCCAGATATGGGCCCCATAATTTTGGACCCAGCCGACCCTTTTTTAAAACTTGTTTCTTGGGAAGCTTTCCGGGTAGTGTTTGGTGGTAAGTGGGGTTGCGCAATCTTTTCTCAAACAATAGACTTTTTTGGCAGTCAACAGCTTGAAGGTTCGTTCATATGAATTTGTGCTGTAGTTTAAGTCCGGGACACATGTTGTTGACGGAGGTTGAGTTTGGAAAGCTGCTATCTCTTGGCCCAAAAAGCAGCCCCAATTCTGAACGAATTCCTTCAGCCTATGATTCTAGTGTTCCCCATTAAATCCTTCAGGAAAAACGTGGCTTTGAACTTCCACGTGCTCAAGCACCTCGGGGAGGTTTGGGTGGAGGTGTACGATTTCGAGGCCGTCGGCGCACCCCGCACACCGCCACTCCGAGCTCTGCAGCGGCAGGCACCCTGGCAGCAAGTCTCCTGGCGGGGGACAGGTGTGCAGGGTCAGGGCTGTTGAGCCAAGGTGCAAAATTTCTGGAGGCTTATGCAAGCCGATGCCGCTGGGAACTTCATGCCCAGTAAGATTGCCATACACGCCCAGAGCTGGGGCTGCAGAAAATTGTTGTCGCACGTGTTTCGCCGGATGAGAATTGGGCGAGCTCCACGGGTTCCTTGCACGAATTATGTTGCACTGTGCTTTCGACATATAGCAGCCCTTTGCATGTAAGACCAGCCGTGTTTACACAGCGCGTGTGCGGATGTTGCACTGTAGGATGAGGACGTGGTCTGTTTGGTGAATATATTCCGACGGCATTGGTACCATACAAGTGACGAGGCGTGGAAATTTGCGCTACGCACGACCTTGGTTCTTTTGATGTTATTTTTGTCTTTTAAACCGCGCATTGTGGTTTAGCGCATGAGCGCACGATGTGGCGCAGACTGGGCGACGAACGCAGGAAGCCGGCCTTGAAGAGGGTGAAGAGGAAGAGCAAGAAGATGACCCGCTGCTGGCTGACGAGGGGGACAAGCTTGCGATCGACGAAATGCCCATCTGCGAGGATGGCTTGGACGTCGACTTCGACCCATGTGAGGACAGGCAGGCGATGCAGAAGGCAGACGGGACGCAGGGGCTGGAAGCGGTTGACCCGTCAACCTGGGAGACGCTTCCTCTAGGAGACGCGTTCTCTAACGCAACGCCAGCGCTAGTTCAGGCCGAAGCGGTTCACGTGACGAGTGTCAAGAAGGAGGCCATAGACGCCGTGACTATCGACGAGCGAATTCTACGTTTGAGGCAGGGTCTACCAGTTTACGCAGCTAGGGTTGCGTGAGACGATCGTTTGTTCTAGTGGGAGGCAGAGCTTGGAGACTATTAGGATGAAGAAGTCCAGCACCCCCGCTGCGTCGAGTGCATCTCGCTTGCGCTTCGCGTGTGTTGCTAGTTGCGAATTTGTACGCCAGGCTCATGATGTTGCATTTTGACATTTGAGGTACCATGGAGGTGGATGCCCCTCAGCCCTTTTTAAGTGCTGCGTGATTCAACAGATTGAACCCCGGCAAATCGATGCCTGTGCAAGGACGAGGTGGCTGGCATGAAAGAGAGCCCTTGCTGTCTTCTTCCTGCTCAAGCTCGGCAGGACTTAACGAGCGGCGCAAACAAAATACCATATATGCACAAAATTGAGCTTGACAAATGTTAACTTTTTCCGTTTGTTTGTTTTTCGTGGGAGGATGTGGAGCCAAAGCCACAGCAGCAAGCCGAACTCGTTCCATCCCCCAAGCCAGAGCCAGTGGACACAGTCCGTTGCGAGGAGAAGCCAAACCACAAGCCAGACCCAGTGGACGCAGCCCATCACCAGCCCGCAGTTCCCCAGCCAAAGCAGGAGCCCGCAGCCCCCGCAGCAGCCCCCAAGCCAAAGCTGGAAGACGCAGTTTGTCAGGAAGTGGCAGCCTTTAATCCTCCAACCCCCAATCCCAAGCCAGCGCAAACGCCCGCAGCCCCCAATCCAAAGCCAGCAGAAGCAGCCTTCCAGGAGTGCGCAGCGCCCAATCCAAAGCCAGAAAAAACAGCCGACCAGGAACCTGCCGAAGAAACAGCCACCAGGAGCCCAGCCAATCCAGAAGACGCAGCCCACCAGCAGCCCGCAGCCCCCAATCCAAAGTCAGCAAGCAACCCAAAGCACGCAGCCTTCAAGCCAAAGCAGAGGCGCAAACCAGCACCTGCCGACGCAGCCCCCGCAGTTCCTGAGTCAAAGCCAGCAGACACAGAGCTTGCAGCCCCCAAGCCAAAACAGAGCAAATCCAAACAGGCTCGCGCAGCAAACGACACAGCGCCAGGCCCCCTGAACAACGAGGACAGTGCTGCCCGCGACAAGCACCAGCCAGATCCACACCAAAGCTTGACCAAGACCAGGCCATAGCGCAGTCTGACGAGCCCGCGCACGACCCTGACTTCTTGAGGAGATCCCACCAGGATGCGGCCGCAGTGAAGACAGGCGGAAAGGGCAAACGCGGCCGACCCAGAAAGAACAAAGCCGAACAGGACAAGGACAGCGTTGTACAGGACCCAGCAGCCATCAGCGAAGCCAAGAGCCGCAAGCCCCGCGGCAAGCAACCCGCAGACGGCGAAAGTGCGCGAGCAAAAGCAAAAGCGAAGGCAAAGGCCCAAGCAACTGTCAGCGACAAGCCTCCCAAGGAGGACACCGCAACGGCACAGGCGCAGCCTAAGAAAAAGCCAGCCAAATCCAAGAGCAAGGATTCCTTGCAGGCAGGCCCCACCCCAAAGAGAAAGGCCACCGAAGATGCGAATCACACGCCGGCAAAAACGGCAAGGGCAGCCTCTGCAGCCCCGAAGCGTGCAACCCAGTACCCCAGGCCGAAAATCGAACAGTTCCGACACTGCTCCATGGTGCCCTACTGGTCCCGCACTGCAGTGGGCATCAAGGTGAAGCAAGGCGAGCTGACGCCTCAGGTTTTTTACCTCGGCGTCAGGGGAGTGAGCATGGGCGTGCACGTGGACAGCATGCATGAGGTTGTAGCTTGGCTTTCTCGCGCCCTGCCGGAGCCCCTCGGAACTGCCCTGCGAACCCTACCCCTCACAGAACTCTTGCGGAATTCCGCAGACCCTTCCTGAAAACCGCCCCGCGCATGCCCGCAACCTTGCGGAGCCCTTGCAGAACTCTCGCGGAACCGCCGCCCCGCTACCCTCGTGGAAGCCTCGTGGAACCCTTGCGCAACCCTCGTCCCGGACCAACCCTATCTGGAGACCCCATCGCTTTCAGCTGTTGGTGAAAAAGCTGTTCTCCCAGAAAAAGTTGCAAGTCGCCCCCCCCCCCCCACGCAAACAAATTATCCCCAACCCCCCTTGCGAGGGACTTCCATTCTCAGTTCCTCCACTATTGGCATATTGGACTCTCTTGCAGAATAGATCCAGGGACCTACCAATACATTCTCTACTACCACAAGGTACCAGCTACCTTCGGGGATACGGCTTAACCAACGCAACAATCCAAAGCATAGGTCATTGATTTCCGCTGTCGCAATCCCTCACTCGTTTCTGGAAAGATGAACTGTATTATTCGGGGAACGGGTT